TTTGGCCTCGGAATCTCCCGGGAGTCCACCGTACACCATACAGCCGTAGTCGAAGTGGGGGAAAACAAGGGAGGAAACTAGGAGTTGACGGGACTTATATGGAAGGAGATATCGTAGACGATTGAACTGTTTTAGGGTGGAGATAGTGCGACGGGAAATTTGGGAGATGTGAGGTTTCCAGGATAGGGATTGATCGAAAGTAACACCTAGGTTTTTAACGGTGGTGTAGAATAAGATAGGTGAGTTGTTCAGGAAGAGATTGGGAGATACTGGGGAGGATTTGAGGAGTGAAGGGGATCCGATCAAGATGGCTTTTGTCTTCTCGGCGTTCAGAGTGAGCCTATTGAGGTTTGCCCAAGCACTTATTCTGTCAATATCTTCCTGAAGTTTTTGAGTGGCATCTGAGATATCTGTCGGATTAAAGGAGAGGTAAATTTGAATGTCGTCGGCATACAGGTGGTAATGACAGTGCAGGATAGAGGATGGGAGGTCATTTATATAGATGGAGAAAAGGGTGGGGGATAAGGAAGAGCCTTGTGGGACGCCTCTGGTCAGAGGTAGAGATTCTGATGGTGGGTTATTAGGAATTACAACGTACTGGGAGCGACCGGTTAGGAAGGATTGGAACCAATTAAGGGAACTAGAAGAAAAAGAGATATTTTTAAGTTTGGTTAGGAGGATGTTGTGGTCTACTGAATCAAAAGCTTTGGAGAAGTCTAGGAGAATAAGGATGGTTAGTTTCTGCTGATCTATGGCTGTGTGAAGGTCTTGGGAAATTTTGATTAGGGCAGACTGAGTAGAATAACCAGGCCTGAATCCAGACTGGTAGGGATTTAGGAGATTATTGTCCTCTAAAAAATGGGATAGCTGGGATTGGACTAACCGCTCTAATGGTTTTGAGAGGTTTGAAAGGAGGGAAATCGGTCGGAAATCATTAGGAACTGATGGGTTTGAAGTCTTCTTCAATGGGCGTACTAGGGCGGTTTTCCAGGATGTAGGGAAGGTAGCATTTTGAAGAGAATAATTGTATATATGATAAAGGATCGGAAGAATGGATGGCAATGCGGCTTTAATCAGTCTGACTGGGATGTTGTCGGGACCGTTATTACCGTTTTGTAAACTAAAATCATTAAACGTACCGAAAGGTTTGTGGAAAATAATAGATGATGTAGTACGTACTGACAAAGATACGCAGGGGCGCCCATCCCTCCCAAGATCGATGGCGTAAGAACCTATCTGGTCCCCTTCACCCAAGATATTTTATTGCTCATCTTTTCTTAAAAACAGAGGAAGCTAAGGTAGAATTAGAAAAATAGTAGATCATATATAATTACACTCGCTGTGGTCTGTTCTATGTTTCCTCCTTGTAACTTAGTCCGAAAATTCAAAATACCGTCGGAATTTGCCCCCTCATAAATTCAAAAAACTGTCAAAATATGCCCCCCATAAACATTTTGATGGCTCAACTCGCGCCATGAAGTCTGTCAAAGTATCTATATAAACACAAACTATATACACAATATGTTTAGAAAGTTTATGTTCACAGTTCTTAATTTCGAAACTTATTGGTAGTTCCAAAAAGACTGTTAAATGTATCTATATAAACAAAAACTATATACACAATATGTTTAGAAAGTTTATTTTCGCAGTTCTTTTTTTCGAAGCTTATTAGTAGTTTCTTTTTTCATTTTTGAAAAGAAAAAAAAAACAATGCCGTTCATTTTATCTGGATGAGGCTTCTGTCTTTAATAATGTTCATCAATTATTTTTTTAACAACATCTTGTGGATGTTTCATAGCCTTCTTGGCTTTAAACTGTTATTTCTAACAGCAGTATTATGAGCAAAAGCTTTTACTTTTGCAATTCAGTACTTCGATTCTATAATTCTTCCAGTGTAAGTAGAGAAATGTAATGGTGACAGTACCACACCTTGTGGAACTCCATACGTGAGATTTATGGGACAAGAAATTCGCTCAGTTACTTTTATTGATGAAGATAGATTGCACAAAAATGATGCAACTATCGAATATAACTGCTGAAATCGATAATTAGTCATATGCTTTCGAGCAGTTAAGGACTAGTTTAAGTTGCCTTGTTTCAGTTGAAGTAGCTTGACACCTCGATCTGCAGCCTCACTAAGCAGTGATTGGTACTTAGTTGTTTTTGAAAATCAGTTTGACCTAGGGAAATTACTACATTTTGTATTAATACAGCTTCCGTTAGTAATTGAGGATTATTATTTCGAAAAATTTGAAAAGCGATTGTAAGATGGGTAATTTCCAATTTTCGCGGGTGTCAGAAGCGAGAATAACAGAGCTTGCTATCAGTAGTGAAGTATCAGACTCTTTAACAGGAATTTACCATGTGTATTATTCCTTTTCTTGGTATTTGTTTTAAGAATGCTTTTCTGCCCTTTAATGTGGCAGAGTGTATTAATATTTAATAACAAAAAAAATAATACATTTCATATTCTATCGCATCCTGTTGCTCTATTGCCCAGGTCATTCGAAGGATTGCTTTTAATTGCTTGTCTGAAACATACAAGATGTAATAACTTCCAGTCTTTTAGTTAGATGTGGTGTAACAATCTCTGTATTCTTTCAGATTTCTTCATTGTAATATTCCGCTAAATTTGTTGCTTGTTTCTCTGTTTGTAGTTGATTATCCCAATTCTTCTTCTTTTTTATTGTTTTTACTTTCACATAGCTATATGTGTAATATATAGTAAGGGGAAATATTGCGATTGTGAAAACTTTCGAATCTAGGTTCTCCACGGAAATACAAGTTTTGAGGTTTCCTGAGTCCAAATAGCCAAGTCTCGCAAAATGGTCTGAGTGTCTGTGTATATGTTATCAGTCTAGCTCAGAAACAAAAAATCATACGAAAGTGACATTGCATATTTAATGTTTGTATATACCTTAGATGCTACAGAAACTTTTTTGTCAAAATCGGCTAACCGGAAGTGGCACTTTATATCATCGATGTAACATATTTTTACGATGTTCTCGAAAACGGCTCAAACGATTTTGGTTAAACTCGGTGTATAAATGTACACTAAGCTTAACTGTACACTAATCTTTAATATAATTTAGGTGTTATCCCTATTGATGTCACTTCACAGTACATAAATGCCCATTTTTCAAAGTGTCTTCCTATAAAATACATTTAATTTGGTTTATTTTAAGTAATTAACTATCATTCATGTTAGAAGTTTGAAAAAGGCTAAATATAAGTTTTTAAAGAATTTTATTATTGAATAAACTAGAAGAAAAGAAAAATGCTTATCCAGTTCGAAAATAAAACTCCGGAAAAAATAGTCAGAAAGTATGTATAATATCGTTGGAAAGCGAAGAATTTTAGAAAAAACAATATTTAATATAGAAAGTCGTAAAAGGTAATGGAAATTGATGAAAAATTATAAATAATAATTTGTGAAAACTAATATTATTTAACTTAAATCATATGTTTTCAAGGAAATTAAATCAAATTTTCTAACTAAATGTAAAATATTTTCTAACGTATGGAAGAGAAAGACAAACGAGGAGCTGACAGCAATGTATAAGGTGGTTGATGTGATCCAGCATATCAAACTAGGAAGGTTGAGCTGGGCTGGTAACGCTCTGAGGATGGGAGAGTAGGAGATTCCTGACAAAGTTTTCCGGGAACAAATATATGGAGTTCGTCACAAATCAAACCGCGGCTTCCCTAGGAGGAATGTGTCGCTTCATACGCCCGAGTCCTTATAAATGTCTGTAATTGGAAGGTAGTTGCACTAGATAGAGATAATTGGCTGTCGTGTTGTTGGAGGCCAAGACTCAACTTAGTAGGTCATAGAGTCGATAGAAGATGATGGGATGATGGTAATAGAACAATATGGGACTCAGAAACATTGATGGATACCCCAGTTAGATGAAATATTAAATAACAAGACTTGGCATTAAAAAAAAAGAACTCCAGAATAGAGAAAAAAAATCAGATCCTTTAATGAAAAAGAAGAGGAGAGAAGGTAAATAATGGGTGGATAAGTAAAAGAGAGAGATGAGTGAGGAAATTTAGAGAATATGGACTTAAGAATATGTATGATATACGTGCTGTCTAAGGACCGATGGCCGTAATCGCGAGGAAATAAAAACGTAACAAATTAAAACATAAAAACAAATTTTCGTGAGGAATAAAAATTGAACAAAAGGCACATTAGGTGTGCAAACAAAATTTTGCTGTGTCTCTTCATGATTTTTAGATGTTTTCTACAGTTTTTTTAATAGTATGAGTATTACAGTATTTATTCGTTTTTTATTTTTTAGAGTTGTTCCTTCTGAGGTCCCGAGTACAGTGAGGAGTGGTAAATGACATCACTGTTCACCCCTCCAGTAAACACCCCCTCCCTCTAGGGGATCCTCTGTTAAGCCCCACTGGAAATCTTCTTTACACTTAGATGTCATTGGATCCCTTTAGTTATTTCTGTCTGTCTTAGTATCAAAGAATTTTCATTTTCCCTGTTAATCTGCATTAGTATATTTTTCATAAACGATTACCACATCTAATGAATTGGCTGTAAATAATAAGCAATTGTATATGTTATTATAATATGTTCATATACATATTATTGTAATATGTTCATTATTATTATAAATAATGAATCAGTCCAATATTTGTCGATTTTAAAAATATTTGATGAAATAAATACAAAATTAAACCCAAAGTTCTGATTACATATAACTAATTACTCCACAAAATATCTTCGGGTTTACAGACTCAATGATCCAATATTCAATAGCATTCCTCTTTCAATACGTCCAACGATTGTAAACTTGGTGGTATCTCATCAACTAACAACAAACTTTAAACTCAAGACAAAGATGCCAATGTTCACTACGCCACCAAATTTTTCGTATTTTGCCAACTCCGCCCAATTTAAATGGTGACAACCGATCCCAACACCATTCTCTCAATGATTCAACTGTAATTTAGATTGAACAGAACAAAATGTTTATGGTTGTTAACAATAATTAATGTTATCTAATTAAATCAGTAATCATTTTAACAATAACTAATTATCTAAATTATGTATTAAGAAGTAAACAGAAGAATAATGGCTGCTAATCGAGCATATTTTACCAACATGATTTTTTTTAAATCCTCATATTTTGCTGTCACGGACAACAAAAGCCAGTAATAAAACATTCGTAGAACCCTTATTAACGTATGATGTTGAAATCTGAATCCTAACTGTTGCGATGACCAAGAACCTAAATGTACTTGAGCGAAAGATCATTAGAAGAATTTATAGAGCAGTTTTCGATCAAAATTTAAAGACATGGAGGTTTCGCCAGAACCTCAAACATAACTCACCAAGACACAAACGTGGTACAGTTAATCAAGACTTGCCGTATTTAATTGCCGTTAGGACATGTAACATGGCATGGATGATGTGGTAACCGGAAAAAGAAGAGTTGGACTATCATGCAGGCTTTAGAACATTGAGGATGACCTGTCAGAACTGGGAATAATGAGGTTGAGAGGGACAGAGACAGAGAAGAATGGAAAAGGGTTGTCAACATATCCAAGAAGGGTGCATGTATAACGATATGTGCCTTTTGTGGTTATTTTAATTTTTTAACACTCGGACATTTTTGGAATTCCATGAAGACTCTTTGAGGTCGTGCCCAACCGCCACAATGTCGTCATTTGTAGTACCACACACAGTAAGCACCAAAAACTATTGAAATATTTATAAACATTAACCTTAAATATAAACTCTCCACTCATAATAACCATATTAAGACAAAAGTACATTACATCATATTTACCTCATACTGGACATAAGGGTTTATTTGCACCATTGGGTCTGGTGTCCCCGGCCTTTCCTAATTGGGGTAGCTCCCTCCGCAGTCCGTCAGCCATTCTAAGGTACCAGCTTTCCGCCTGATTATCTTCAAGAAATCCAGCCAGCTGAAGTTTTCGGCTACAACGAAAAGTAATGTTGATGCTGCTGCCCGCCAACGAGGTTTTTCGGTAGCGGTTTTCCTTGCCGTAGGTAAGTTTCCACACCGAGTTATTGTGCCTCACTAGCAGTATGGGTTTTAAGCGTTTGGGGCTATGGCGGAGTTTGCAGATCTTGTCATCTGACATCTGTATTACAATTCAAACAAGCTGCCCTGAAACTCTTCAGGAAGCCAATTCTATAAATAGGGCTGGTATACGACAAAGATGGAATGATGCCCATTCACATTACAATCCTAAAGACGATTATTATAGGTGGAGCAGGAAAGAGTAAGTTAAAAGAGTAAAACAGGCTACCAGAATACAGAGCATATCCCTCGGACATATCCTCAGCTGGAGGATATCTAAAAGCTAATTCCGCCAAATCCCACTGACTTGACGACAAAGCTTTACAGTGGTCTGGAGGATCTCAGAAAGACGGTCGAGTTCTTACTCTTAATCACCGTTTGAGAGAAGTTTGAAGAATAAAGTGTTAATAATAACTGTTAATTTATGCGTGTATTCCTTTACATTTATTTGTTGTTTATTCTGGAACATTCATCATTATTTTCAATTTTAATTTACCGTAAATTCAATACAATCTTAATCCCAAAACTTGAATCGATTTTTTTTTTTGTCATTTTTTAAATTAATGTTTTACGCTAAGCGGTAAGGATTGTGACAAAAGGAACTCTCGAGACTTCTCCTCTCTTGTACTCCTGAGATAATTGAAGTCTAGACATCTTCACCCTCTTCTTTCAAGAGATCTCACGGAGTCTCATGATAAGAAAGCTAAAACAAAGAACCTTTTCTCTTTCTGTACAAACTATTTAAAACCTTGGCGTAAATACGATTAGAAATGATATTTATGATCATCTTCTTCTTTTTATTTATTTATTTTTTTTTTATTGTGTGAGGCAATACTGTGGCGCGTTGTTTGATACAATTCTTAACATACTCGAAACGTATAAATCAGTTTTAATACAAACTGGCAATTTTTTACAGATTCCCAGTATTGTCTGAGCCTTGAGGTATTTTTTAAAAACCTGTAGTAAGTTAGCAATATTCAGATAAAGGTGTCAATGTTCATTGATATTCATATATCAATGCATATAAACATATTGATCATTCTATTTCTTAAAATCTAAAAATAATAAAAAATAATCAGCATACGTAAATTAAAAAGTTAGATAAATAGAAGGAAGTTAGTTTATCATAAGATTCATTTTGGATAAGATGGTTATTCAAAAAAACATTATGGGATTTACTATGGAAAAATATGATTCTAATTTGATACAGATCTGGAACATTAGGAGATATTAAAGATTTCTTGGATAATTTTCTTTATACCAAAGAAAATAGCATTTTGGAAGGAAGGGGTTCTATAAAAGAGGTATTTAATCATGTTGGTTCTCATATCAGAAGTAACAAAAAAATAAATAAAAAATTCGTGATCCATTATTTAAGGTAAGTAAAAGGTTTCTTAAAAATAAAACTTGGAATGCTCTAAATCGACAATATGTTTTTATTTCATTCATTCTAGTGCGAAGAATAATAACGGCCGTATTTCAATATAAGGATAAAAAAGGCAGATCTACAAAAATTTAAATAGAAATAAATATATTTCAGAAATAAGAAAAAGATTTATATTATATAGATAAAACGAATTGACAACGGCGCTTCCAAAGGCTGTAAGAACAACTATAGGAGTTTGGTATTTTTGAACTTATTGAGAATTAAAAGCCCCAAAAATGTTACTTAAAGCATTACATATTTATCTTAAACAAGCAATAAAAAATTAACAAAAGTTTTTTCATAAAGTAGAAATTCACAGTTTTTTTCCATCGTCTGAATATTTCTAATTTTTGAATATTTAATAGTTGACTGTTGCATTATAAAGGAAGGAGATGGTCCGGGGTTGCGGTCATAAACAGGCTAAATAGTGGTAAAACTCCTTTATTTCTAATTTTTGTACTTAGGGGCTTTAGCAACCTGGTTATAGATATAATTCAGCCTTTACAATGAGTTGAACTGGTGGCAACTTAAGTGCAATATTTACAGCAGTTAAACTAGTTATAATTATTAAACTAGAACAATTCATATGTTCACTTTCCTTTAAATTTATATATCTTTTTTGCTTCCACTTAGAATGTTACTACTATTGAATGTCGTTACGGTTCATCAAGAACCAAAGTCTTCTCCATTATCCTGCTCCATTCTACTTTATCCTTCGCATTAGTTCGCCATTGCCTGATGTGCAGCTGGCGGAGATCCTCTTCCACGTCGTCCAGCCATCGTTTACGAGGCTTACCTCTCCTTCGTGAGCCAGCAGGATGACTGTACATCATTTGCCTGGATAATCTCGACGCAGGCATCCTTTCGAAATGTTCAAGCCAGCCCAATATTCTTTTCTTTATGATATTAACTATATCTGCAGTTGAAGGGACAAGCCCTGCTCCGAGTTCCCTCGCCTGATTATCAATAGTGTATATAGGTATGTATTTATTCTTTTTTTAAATGCATTTATCTTATTTTACTTAAGTTATTTTTTTTTACTTATTGTACATACTTTTTGATTATTATTTAGTCATTATTTTGCTTTTGTTTATTTTATGTTTTCTGTATATATAGAGTGAATGTGGTCTTACCTCACCATAACTATTGCCGAATAGATAAAATGTTATATTATTCAATAAATAAATAAAAAATACAGTACAAATTATCCTAAGAGTTAATTAAATCTATATAAATGGTAATACCTGGATTATTTCAAATATAAATTTCTAGATTTTTTTCATATTTCACTTTTGCCAAAAGATTGTTCAAAATTGAATTAGAATTACCACCGAAAAAGCCGATGTTTTATATTTATAGTTACTTTATCAGCCGCAAGATCTCGCTTCCATCTAGTGGTGAAGCCTAGCGCATTCTGTTAGAGGACATACGAACTGTGTAGTCTGTAATCTCAATCCTTGTTAGGTATTCACTTTATATTTCCATTAAATCATCTAAAATTAATGTAACCTACTAAAAATGTTTTTAATATATCTATCAATACAATCTATTTATTGATCAGTATTATTTATTTTCTCTATATTTTAGAGCATTCTGAAATGAACAAGTAACTCAAACATCAATTATATAAAATCCATGATATTTCTAACAGCCCAATTCAAAACTGAAGCAGCTCTGATGAAATGTTTTACAAAAATATTAATTTGGCAAAAGGAATGTATAACATTTTCATTAGAGTTTCTTTTCTGCTTTTATTAGCTGCTCCAAAAAAGTTTGGTTTAGACATTAGGAATGACCAATATAAACAATTAAAAACAGTATGAAATGCACATCTTTAGTTATTATAAATATTCTTTTAAATGATCCACATCTATATGTTGTATATATCATTTTAGTATATACATAACATCAAAAAGTTATCATAAAAGAATTATCATTGCTTTTCTGCATTTACTGAAGAAAAATCAATATGTTTATTAAAGTAAATTGAGCTTATAGAATATTTATCTAATTTTAACATCTATATGTATTCAAAGTAATTACTTAAGAGTATAACAACCAAATTATTATTACTTTTATAATAGTCTCTAGCACTAACGGATCCAGGATTTAATTTTTGGAGGGGGGGGCTTCAGCCCGAAACCTTTTTTTTTCATAAAAATAACGATAATTATTTTGGAAAAACAGAAAGAAACTAACTACCTATATGAAATGGTGTTCAAGTAATTCCTTAAGTCCTTTTAAATATACTTACACAAACAATAATACTTTAAGAGGTATTTTTAAATTTTTTTTTCCTGAAAACATGGTTATATTTTAACATTTTGGGGGGACTTCAATCGGAAAGCTCCCCCTCCCCCGTAGATCCGCCCATGGTCTCTAGTTGCATATTTAAAGTCTATTATTATTAGGCATAAAGGTTATTTTTCATTCCATTAAAGTTCATGTCTACATAATAAATGATGACAATTTTAATTGAGCTTATTTTGTGAAACGAGATTGTCAAAAAATCTTTTTAATTTGATATCATCATATCATTAACATATGATTTTTTTATTAAATGAAAAAGTAAGTTTTTTTTTTACTCATTCAATATTATTGTTTTACATTACCTGGGTCATTATTGATAAAAAAAATTGGTATGTCACTGCTTGTTTTATTTAACCTGGTGAACTTCATTATTCATAATATTCTGTACTTAATGTAAGAATAATTAATAGATTGTTATCAATGAGATCTCTTCAGTGAAATTTGCTTTAAATAAAAATAAAGGAACTTCCAAAATTCCAAAATATAGTGCGTTTCTTGAAACCCAGTATTGATTTTGTTATTTACATTTATTTTTTGTCATTCTTACTAAAATCGTTCCTCACAATTAATATATTATAATTGTATTCTACATTAAGACCCATAATCTTTTTGTTCAATAAAACATTCTTGATTACCCTACCATTTTCATGCCAATATTTTAAATAAATGTTTGTATATATATACTAATTTAATATTTAAAACTGAAAAACTTGAATAATTAAATTAATTAATTAATTTCAAGTAAACTTTAACAAAAGTTTGTTAATAAATTCGAAATACATGTCAATTAACAGAAAAATTCTAATATCTTTCTATTCAATCTAAATTTTGACACCAACTAGGATAAGCATTGTTATAAACAATAATTACGGATAAAATGTTCAATTTCTAATGTGTGACTTTTACTTTTTTTGTCTTTTCTTCACTGATATAATTGCAAGCATTAAAAGTTACTATTTCTAGGCATAGGTTCAATCTATTTTGCGTGAATAATCAAGCTTTTGTTCTTCTATTAATGCTTACATATTTCTACCTTGATGATTTTTTTTAGAGCTGCTTTTCCTTCTATAGTTAGAGGGAGAATCCTGGCTTTGGGTTATATGCCTGATTATATATATTGTATATAGGTATGACTGTGTTTTAATTTACTTATCTTTAGGTTATTTTATTTTTTTATTGTGCATAGTTTTTTTTTTTATTATTTTTACTTTTGTTAATTTTATATTTTCTGTATATATGGTACAAATATGTTCATTTATCACTATAATCATTTTCCACGAGACAGAATATTATGTCTGAAAAAAAAAAAAATGATGATTTTATTGAAAATTATTTTTAGGACTACACGAATTAAAAATTATTAATGTGCATTGAAAAATACTATCATTTTTTCTCA